CTCTGAGACTCACCTGATGATCTACCAGGTCATTATAGACATTTAGGAGGCAGTCTCCTCTGAGACTCACCTGATGATCTACCAGGTCATTATAGACATTTAGGAGGCAGTCTCCTCTGAGACTCACCTGTTGATCTACCAGATCATCATTGGCCTACGGGATGCAGTCTCCTCTGAGACTCACCTGTTGTTCTGTTCATTACGCTCAAGTGTCCAGCCGTCCCGATACTCCATCTTTCATTATTGCTTTACTAAAAGGTCCATCTGGCATGTCAGATGGAGACTTGATGAATTTGCTTAATAGAAGCACCAGAAAAGTGGGGAAAATGGAACAGATAACTCCTGCCTCAATCCTTTTAGAAATAATGCATTTAATAACATGTTTTTCAGTTTTTTTGAATGTAACCAAACCCCATTAATGACGCACTTGTAACTGCCTGGTCAGATGACTGAAAGTACCCAACATCCTCTTCCCTTTTAAAACACTCCACACACGATAATTAGGGCTGCATTACCTTCGGTGGCAGGAAACACGTCTTCTCCTTCGCTCTTCGTTTCGGCCAGCTTCCCGGTGCGTAGCAAAACCTCGGCAAAGTCCTCCGTGGAAACGCTATCATATGACGTGTACATTTCCTCATTCTGCAAACACCAAGGGCAGCGCTAACATTTAATGTATATCTGTATCCCTACAGAAGGCAGATGTAATACATTGTAATAATACAGCTTTACTCTGACATTATAGTAATGTGAGTAACGTTACTCATTAGTGGGAATGTTATTGGGCAGAAATGTATAACCCATAGGGATGCTGCTGACTCCGCCTTCTTTGGCACTTACTCTGATTGGCTTGTACTAAGGTATGAAGCATGTGAGATTAAATCCTGCCTCCCTGACATAACTGCCACTAAAATGGGGGTGGGATTACCTCATGTCAATGTGTCATTTGCAGGACAGACATGAACTGAATGAGCCCCTTAGACACAGCAGGTGACTGACAAACTACTCAGATGAATATATATATTACATATATTACAATTGTTAATCTTGCGGTGCTGCCCTTTAAACAGCATTGCATCTGCCAGGGATTTCATGCCTTAAATCAAACTGAAACATTATTGCCTCCTATTAGGGAGCAGCTTACTTGTAAATCCTAACTTAAAAATTTACATTGCCACCACTCTCAAAAATACAAACAACGTGAATAAAAAGCAACCACACACTCCTGTTACTTACTTTGTCGATGTAGGGACTCTCAAACAGCGACTCGTAGAACGGGTGACAGCCCTGTCCTTCCAGATCTCCGTTTTCTGCAGACGAGGCCTTCAGCGCCGAGTCGCCGGGTCCCTGACCCTGAAGAAAAGTGAGGCGCCATTAAAATATTTATAAACACACACATTCCTCTCAATTGCATCAGTTCTAAGGGATTAAAAAAAAATATTTTTTTTTGCCCCTTTTATAATTCTATTTTTCCACGACAGAAGAAACACTAAAGGCTGGGCTGGAATCAATTTTCCACAACGATGCACAATGGAATAGCTAAAGCAGCAGCCAATTAGGCATGCACAGCATTAAGCGGAACACGCCCGCTCGCAGACAGCGCTCACCTGGGACCTCCGTCACATGACGGCATGCCGTGGGGCGTAAATGAGGCTGCGATTCGTGATGCTTGAAGCTGGTTCAGACCTCTGGGTTAGTGTCGCTGATCCACGTGTCGTTGAGTGAGTGTGTGTGTGTGTGTGTGTGTGTGTGTATACTTTATAACAGTGTTTCCCAATTTGGTCCTCGGGGACCCACAGCCGGTCCATGTTTTTGCTCCCTCCCAGTTCACTGCCAGACAGTGAGCTGGGAGGGATCAAAAACATGGACTGTCTGGGGGTCCTGGAGGACTTGACTGGGAAACACTGCTCTATAAGATTTAATGTCTATATAACTCCCTTCCCAATACTGCTGCCAAGAAGCCTATATATTTAACAGCAGGAGCAGCACTGCATACTAACAGGACGGCCGGTGACGTTATATAGATGTTATATATGGTAGTAAATGTCTGCATTCAGTCTTACTATAATCGTGACAAACTGTTGCCATAGTGACAAGCCGCAGCCTAAAGCCGGTCATGGCTACATTGTGTACAGAGTATGAAATTGTTCTGACCAAACAACAGCATGCATGAAATGGACAGACATGATGAAAGTACTAATGCTGTCATTTTCAGGAAAGCCAAACATGTGAAAGCAACTGGAACACATCAGAGACACGTTGAAGGCATGCTTACATGCAGGGGCCGCAGGTAGCTGATGGACGTTCTCCACCACTGGGAGTCGCCCACAGCCTGCAGCACGGCTTTGGTGGTCAGTCCAGGGTTCGAGAGGACCTCCATGGTCTTAGCGGTGCTCCTGTGCAGCAGCTGTGAGTGGCGGCTCGTGCCGGCAGCTACCGTGTCGGCCTATGAGAGCCAACGACCCGCCCCCGCCCACCAATCGTTACCTTCGAGGGGCTGCTTGTTACCGCGAAAAGGACTCCCATCATGGAATGGCTGTCCCGACACACAAGCACAGGAAGCTGAGACCCCATTCGGGTTAAACCGTGAAAGGTTAAAAGAGGACAAGCAAGCTTCCAGTTAATAAACACTGGGAACAGGCACAAATTACACAGCTAGGCTTTTGCCACACTGAGCGAAAATGTTCCATTTTAAAAAGCTGCTTTCACCCATTCTGTTAAGAATAAGAAATTCATTAGCGATTTGCTAAAATTTGCAGTATCGTTACTCGTCTCAGATATTACGCCACCCCCACAGAATGTGGTCGCTGTTTCAAACACAGCAGCATGGTTCCAGACAGAGAAATCATTCAGTACAGAAAAAAGTAATATAATCGTCTCCCGCTGTATGTCGCGATGCCAGCGGAAGCGCGGAACGCGGCAGAAGCATGTTGCTTTGCAGCAAAGGGCCGTATCTCTCTCCTCTATTTTGTCTGGTTCAGAAGTGAATCAGTTTAAATGTTCTTGCCATAATAGTTTCAGTGTTTCAGATGATTATAGGAGAGGAAAACTGCTGTGTCAGTTTGAACAGGATCTACCCTTAGGAGACAAAACAAATTGCAATAACAACATTTCGCCTGCGACAAATGGTTTCACGGGCTTCTGATAAGTATCCACCATTATTTGTAATTTGGTGGGAATCTTTCCAGCGAATATATAAAAAAATATAAGTAAGTGGCCAATCAGTCTGTGCGGGCAACTGCAGAGGGCAGAACGTTCCTGCTCAGTGCGAAGCCATGGTACGGGGGAATCCCCAGCATGCAAACAAACATGAAACGAAAATAAAAAGGCGGAACCTGGGCCTGGCCCAGGTGTCACACGGGGCCCCTTAGCAAACGGGCTTTACGCGGCAGGTGTGGTGATGACTCAGGGGTAACCTGACCTTCATTCCCGTCAGTTAATTAACTAGCCCAATTCTCAATGTATCCCATCTCACATGGTCACAGTAATGAAAGAAAACGTGATTTGAATAAAATATATAACATGATGGTTATAGCTATTTTATACATATAAAACGTGAAGTCACAGAGTCTTGTAGCAGGTGTGACAAGCCTAGATAAATAACCGCGCGCTGACATTTACGCATGACGCCACCGCAGCAGGTGAGACGGCCGGTCGTAACCCCCCCCGAGTGGCCAAGAGCCGGATGCTGGCCGGCTCCACATACCTGTTGGCGTTCGGTGGGTGGCTCCAGGGCCGGGCCAGGACCGTGTGGCCCATTGCCGTGCGGGTCAATCTGGTAATTCACAGCCTGGTAGAGGATCTGGGGGGGGGGGGGACACCCATTTTAGAGAGACATTCCTAAAGAACTAACATTCATCGGGTAAAAGTACTCACAATTCCGGGGAATGTCGATTTCCAAAAGTCTACATATAAAAACATTATTAAAATAAAAAAAAAAAAAAATCAGATCTTGAAGAGCTGAATTCTGTGACAGCTGACTGACAGGCAGAGGCCTACGTGTCATGTGACGAGGAGAGCGAACCGCGAGCGGTGGTGTCAGCAGACGGACGGAGACAGAGTAACGAAGCTGCTGTTAGCGGCTGGCAGGCAGCGGCGGTAACGACGACCCGCTGGCGGACTGGGAGCGGAATCGGTGAGCAATGCAGAGGATGCATGGGGGGTGGTGGGGGGGGGGACGTCAGAAAGAAAGTGGGCCTGACAGGATACAGACAGCCGGGACCTCTGCACCTCCTCACACCTGCCGTTAGATCGGCAAGTGGCCTTGGATGCGAAAACCCACTAAAACCCACAAGGGTAAGTAAATAAATGCCATAATAGATCTGAGCCACAAGCAGCCTCACAAACTTGATGTTGTGCTTTTAATGGGGGGGGGGGGGTGTTGCATTGACATGACAGAGCCCAGTCTCCCCAAAGGCTGCAGAAGGGCTCTACTGAGCACAGGTGGCGCCGGAGGAATGGATGTGCAGAATGCCGTGGGATAGGCAGGACCCGCGACCGACGGTGCCGGCTCTCATTAAGTGGTGAATCGGATGACGACGGCGCATGCCGATTACATTAACCTCCTAATGCAAGAGGCCGGCGTTCAGGGACAGCGGGACGTGAGAGAAGCCCGACTTCACATTATTTATATTATATATGCACGCACACACAGCACTGAGTGCAGTAAAGGCCTCCTTTACGATCCTTAAGCTAAAGAAAACATTCATTGCATCAATAAACCAAAAAAAAAAAGTAAAATGCAATTTATAAATAACTATCGTTCAGTGTACAGTTTGTTTTCCCGCACGTGGGACTAGCTCACACATTTTGACACTCTTATTCACACGATCACAAAGGGGGGAGGAGGTGTTCTCTCTGAGCTCTGCTCCAGTACACCGGGTGCTGTGACACTCCGCGAGACCCCGTTGGGAGCCCGCCTGATTCTGCTCTCCGCCATAAAAGCAGCGACCCCCCGCGTTCTTCTGCCAGGGACGCCGTCGCTGGGTCTTAGCACCTCCGACATGCACTGTTCAGGTTCTGAATCCTGCACAGCGGCTGCCGCCGATGGAGGGAACCTCCGTAGCCTCGCCGGCTGACACTGAACGTACACATATATATATACGTGGGGCTGCCATAAGGTTGCGTATAGCCTACTGCACGTTTTTAAACCGGACACGAAGAAGCATGGCGGCAAACTGTAAATTACCCGTGCAAACACCATGGACGCCCGGGACGTATGTTTGATATGTCGCCCAGACCAAGCTGATCCAGTCCCCGGTAGGTAATGGCCTTTCCGAGCGGAAACACCTGCCACAAGGTGCTTCTCTCATAACTGTCCTGGTTTTCCAAGTCACCTGACAGCCTCCTGCCATGCAGGACACAAATGGCTGACTGAACCCTGACAGCGTGGCACAACCGATCAGCGGTTAGATGGACCACCAGGATTGGTGCCAGACTGGCACCTGAGCTAGAGACGCTCATTTTCAATGCATGCTCCTTCTCCCCGGCAGCCAATAACCGTAATGCACAAGGACACCGCATGTTCACGGACCGTGCTTATAGCGCATGCATAGGCCGACCGCACGGCCTACAGAGATAACATACAGCGGTAACCCATCACTACGGCACACAGAGACGCCGTAATGAAATGTTTTTCAATACAAGCTGAGTGCTCTGGCTCAGCTATTCAAGAGTATCCTTTCTGACAGGCAGATTCGGGGACAGGCTGTTCCTCGAGGGTGGTGGTGTCCTTAAAACACCCAGGGGGACCGAAAAGGCTGGAAGCTGAAGATACAGGAAGTGAACTTTTACCGCACCATTGAACGACATTCCCAAGAATGGCGCTGACCCATGTTTGTGAAAGGGGGGGATAAAGGGGGAGACCCTGACAAGCCAATACAACAAGTGATATTTTAAATCCTGAAACAGCAGCACAGCAGAGTGTTCTACACACCTCCGCTGTCATTGCTAAAGAACCGAGCAGTCGTACATTGAGGTCCCCCTTGCAGCACCCCCAAGCAAAGGTAAACTCTTAATCGGTTCAGTGAAAAGCTGGACAATATAGATAGAGAGTACGGCAGCACTGTTTTGATCTAGAGACCTATGGAACCAGAGATAACTGGGTAAATAATGCGGGTCGTGGGTCACCCTGGATTAATAGATCAGCTAAGCTGAGAGTGGAGAGAGTGCCCCCTGGAGGGCTTACCTGGGTATGCAGGAAGCTGCTGGCCGCCAGCAGGGCCTGGATTTGCACGGGGGGACAGTGCGTGAGGGCGAAAGCCATGAGCTCACGGCGTGCTGTCAGGTCACGGTAGGCCTCGCGCTCGCCGAGCTGGCTGCAAACGTGCCATCCTGGGGCGTAACCTATTGGGGGGGGGGGGGTCAAAATCATCCGAGGGAGGGATAGTACGCATTATAGCTTCTAAGCCAAACACTCAGGTCCGCTACTCACTTAGGAAATCATCACCTGCTACCATTGAACAAGGAGGAAATATTTACAATACCTGACCATGAAAGTAAGCTTCTTCAATAAGATAAAGTTAAAGAAGCAAAACAAGAAAAAATAAATGCAATAAAAAAAACACGCTGTTAATGCTGCGTGTCCCCAAACTCCCATAACAGCTGGGGAAGACGTATGGCATTAGAAAAAATAATAAAAAAAAAAAAAATAATTTTTTAAAAATCGGCAGAAAAACCTAAATAAGTGGTAAATTTCATCCGGATTGTTTGCTCCCCTCATGTTACCTCTACAACATTCATTAGCTCACAATCTGTGTCCTGATGTTTTCGGGGATATGTGTAAATTTGTGCGAACATACTATGTCTGGAATATTTCAAATATTATACTGAATATTATCGTATATATATGTATGAAATGTACCCAATCTGACCCCGCATTGTGACATCATAATCACCTGACCAGTACAATCTCCAAAACCACCCTTTCCGCATCACAAAAGCCCCATCTTGCTCTCCATGAGACACACAGACACACAAATACAGGTGAGAACAAGATTTTTGGGTCACAGGGTTAGGGTCAGCCAGCATGCCGGCCATGGGATTTGAAAAAGCAACCTTCTGGGAGCTGAACTCTATCCCTGAGAGCCTCAAATTGCAGAATGTCACAGTATTGACAGCCATTATACAGCCTTAGAGTACACCGTGAGTCATTCATTTAAGCTTACTAATGCACACTTCACGTTGAAACAAACAGGTTCACTCAGCAGGCAGTCATACTTCTCCGAACAATCCTGGGAGCCAAAGCGCCAACACAAAACCCGATTCAGGTCACACTCCTGTTCCCTTGGCCTTATAAGTTCCAAAGGCACGTCTCTGACCTCTCACCAGAGAATGCATTAACACACACAGGAATCAAAGACTAATGACTGAAAGCGTCATGATAATTTAACCGCAGGACGCGAACCAAAGGAAAAACAGAGCCTCCACTTATGCGAATGCAAGCAGGGTGTCGTGCTGAATTTTAGGCTTATTTTAACAGACAGGGGACCAATAATCCATGAGTTTTAATGCTGTTTGGTCAGGCCAACCCGTGTCTTTCAGCATTTGAATATGAAAGACAGTCGCTCGTTAAGCGATTATGGCACGCGGCTTTTACGGCCCAAGCACTACAAACACCGATAACTGTTTCTGACAGACACGGGGCTGTGTGTGGCACATGGCATTTTAATTCAGCTGATATGCGATAGCATTCGCCTCCGGCCTCGCACGTAACGGACGAGCAGTTTTGGGGAGGGGTGGGGGAGCTTTATGTGATTCAGTCCACAAGCTGCTGATTTTTAAAGATAGAGATTATGCTTCCAAATTAAAAGACACCTTTATTGAGCAAGCCTTTATTGCATAAACCTTTTCTTCTTCAGCATGTCTAGGCGGTAATTAGAGCAGCATTTTGCAATTTAATGCAGGAGTTTAAGCACCCCGGGTCCCAGCCGCCCAGGATAGTTAAGAGAGTAAGGAAAAGTTAAGTGAAATCAGAGAGCATGAATGGTATCTGGCCATGGCACGTGTGTCGGAGCTCACAGGCCATTAGTGTGTTGGTGCAGAGCCTCACCATTGAGACGGGAGTGCTCCGGGCTCTGCAGATTGCCACGGCAGACAAACTATTTCTGAGCGTCAGGCTCTTTTCTCCACACGTGCATTTTGGTTTAAAATTGTTTATTGCCCCCCCCTGCCCCCACCACCACCACTCGTCTGCCTCTGAGGCAGGGAGCACAAGCTGTTCGGATGCCACTAAATATGTCTCATGATTACAAAATAAACTGGGGAATCTGTGTCCCCGTTTTCCGCATGAGGGAAGAGCCAGCAGGGGGAGATGGGCCTGTTTGGTTCCCGGTCAACCGCAGCGACCACTCCAGGTGATGTCAGGAGGCAGGGATGACCCCCCCTCCCCCCACCCCAGCTCGCTCCCAAATGGTCAAATTGGATTCATCAGAGCTGTAATTAAGACGAGATCTGTCAGGCGCATAGACAGCAGAGATGCAGCATTACAGGTACGAACACAACCTGGAGGAATGGAGCGAGAATCAGGCAGAGGGAAGGAATGCCTTTCACATGCATTAATAATAATTAAAAATTCAACAAAGGGATTAAGAAACTGGGTCAGAATTGGGGGGGGGGGGGCAGTGATCAGCACACACACACAGGTTTGCAATTATATCTTTGTGGGGACTCTCCATTCATTTCTATGGGGAAAACTCTAATCCCAACATGACGACCATAACCCCCTACCCAGCCCTAACCTTAACCATAAGTAACCAAACAAAACACGAGACTTTGGCATTTTTAGTTTTTTGATTGCATTCACAGATCTTTGTGGGGACCTGAAAAAAGGTAAGATTGTAAAGTGCTAAACGCCTGCCCTGCATCACTGTCTTCCGCCAGGCTGCCCGGCAACAGACCTCCGATTGGCTGCCTTGGTACCTGTGGCCATGAGGTCCTGGCAGTGGATGTAGGCGACTTTGTAGTCATGGCACTGAAGGGCCTGCTCCGCCAGCAGGGTCAACACCTGGCCCCTGCGTTTGGGCTCGTCCTCACCTGGGGGGGGGGGGGGGGGG